GGGCTTGTGAGGAGCCGCTGAGGAGACCAGGGTGGGTCAGCCCGGAGAAGAGGAGACTGAGGGGTGGCCTCATGGCTGTCTTCACGATGGGGAGCAGGGTGGAGGTGCTGATCTCTTTTCTTGGGTGTCTGGCGGTAGGACGTGAGGGAACGGCTTATAAAGCTGCATCAGGGGAAGTTCAGATTGGCCATTAGGAAAGAGTTCCTCACGGAGAGGGTGGTCAGGAGCTGGAACAAGCTCCCCAGGGATGTGGCCGTGACCCCCAAGCCTGTTGCTGTTCCAGAATCGTTTTGGAGAATGCCCTTAGATATAGGGTTTAACTTTGAGGTTGCCCTACGTGGAGTCAGGATTTGGGCTGGGTGATCCTCGTGGGTCCCTTCCAACCCAGGAGATCCTAAGAATGTTTCTGAAAACTCTAGAGAGGAGGAAGACACTCTTCAGCCAAGGCAGGATCTTGGGCATGGTGGGGGCAAGCCCCACTTTTGAGTCCTCATCTGGGGGCTCAATACGAGCAAGCAGCAGACAAAGCAGTGGGGGAATCACTCCCTGAGCCTGTACCATTCGACTGGCGCTCTCCTCCTCCTAAAAACCCACGCTATGTCGGATACGCTCCAGAAGGAAGGACAGACCCTGCCTTCTCTGGCTCTGCGTGGGGTGGAAAGTCAGCCAGCAAATGCACGTTTGCTCCTCTTCCCGGACGTGGTGAAACATCGCTATCGCTACACGGGAGCAGAACAAGAGGAGAAATCTAGGTCTAGCAGAAGACCTCACGGTTTGGACAGTAAAGGAGATTGTGGGGAGTTAAATCTGGAAAAAAAGGGGAGAAGAACAGAGGATGATGGTGCCAAGCCTGCAAAAGCAGTCTGGGGGACAGAGCAAGGTGAGGCAGGCTACGAGGAAGCAGAGCTGCGAGCCGTTTTGGAGAGGATGCAATTGCCTAACACTTCCCAACGCCTGCCAAGAAGCACCACGTGTTCTCCGAGCCGGCTGCCAATAGGTTCGGAGCCAGCAGATACACAAACAGCCTCGCTAAGGAGCCAAGCCGGGCTTTAAGGAGGCGGTTGCAGCAGCAGGACCCACCTTCGCCCATCACAACATACGGGGAAAGCCACCACTGAGTGCAGGGACCTGCCTGGAGAAGCCACCAACCCCACGAGGACGGCTGGGGACAGCTTGGGAGCGAGCAGTCTTGCAGAAAAGGGTGGGGAAAAAAAAGGTTTCAGCTTTTTAAGCTGCTTGAAACCAAACCAGAGTGAATGTTGCAACGCACCGCTACGTCACAGCCTGTCCTGGGGTGGGCAGGAGTCGAGATAACCCTCCTGCTCTCCGCAGAACTGCGGCCGGAACGAGTCCGACGTTGAGCGCAGCACTTCAGGGAGGGCTCAGCCGTATCGGGGAGGGAATCACGAACTATCGAGGGTCTGAAATCAGGTCTGAAAAGGGGAGGCTGAAAGATCTGGGTCTGCAGGAGAGCATAAACTCTTGTCTTTGCTTATTGTGCGTAAAACGAACAGTAATGCATTTAGATATTAAAAATACCAAAGACCCCATCGGCTTTCCAAGGGCGAGGGCTGGTGGCGGCAGTGTGGATGCCGAGGTAGTGGTGGAGTCTCCGTCAGAGCCTGGAGCAGCCAGGTTCAGGTTGGTTTAGGTGCCATGGGCTTGCTTGGAAGCAGCAAGAGGGAACAGGTAACCTCCGAGATCTCCCGGTATCTCAAAACATCCTGTTTTTGCCACAGACGCTCCCATCTAAACAACCAGCGTAGCCAAGTTCAAGTTCTCGCTGCAGACCCAAACACCTACTTCCTCCCTTTGACTTTTAGTTTTGCTTAAAGAGGTGGTTTTTTTGTTTTGTTTTTGAACAAGCAGCCAAGGATACAAGAGCAGCAAGAGCCGACCCAGCTCTCCCGCTCCGCTCATCGGCAGAGCGAGCGGGTATTAAACTGAGCCCTTTCCCAACGCCGCTCTTTGCTGCTCCTTCGCGTCCCACTGCGAGCAGCTCCGGGAAGGGAGACTGTGAAGCCCACGAGGACAGAGGCGATGAGAGGGTCTGCCCGTGGCTGGAGATTTGGTTACAAACCCAAGAACAGAGAGCACCACCATACTCATCGAATCAATCTCCCGGCACACAGAGCCAAATCCTCCGCCCTCGTTTCCCACCGCAGCCTCGTTAGAAACCACGAACCACAGCTGGCACAGAAAACGGTTCATGAAATGCTCCCCAAAAAGGGGGTTTCTCCCTGCCTGAGCGCTCATTTGTCCACCCCTGCGACGGAGGGTTTCGGTTAAGGGTCTACCGACATTCTTAGCTCTTATCAGCTCGAGAGGCATCTTGCAACGCTGGCAGAGACCTTCTGGCAGTTCATGCGTCTGGAAGTGAAGAGGAAGGAAGCAGGAAGCGGTTCACGGAGAGCTGCCTGCAGATGCTGAGCTGTGACATCGTCCCGGGGCGCGAGCAGCAGCGCTGCTCCCACGGCACGGGGCTGCCGCCACCGCGACACGGAGCCACCGCCGGGCCTGGTGCAGTGCCACCACTGACTTTGCACAAGATCCTCCTGCCATTGTAACTTGCTAACAGCCTGTATCTCATTAATGTTGCTTAAAACCCTCTATAAATTACAGAATTAGATAAAATGCTAGCAGAGGATGTCAACACTAAGCAGGTGCCCTCAAGGCAGCTCCTCGCTCCAGCCTGGGAGCAGCGGTCGAGCTTTTAGCACGGCCGCAAAGACCCCCGCAAGACGCAGCTCACTCGAGCTCTCACACGTCTCATGAGTGATTTGAAAAGACACGGGGACAAGTGGCTTAAAAAAACCCAGCTAAAATCCTTCCGGCTACAGATTCGGCATCCCCCATCTCCAAACCCAGTTCACTGTTTGCTCAGCTGCTTTCCCGCAGTCGTACCCAGAGCAAGAGTTAAATAAATATTGCAACGCAACGGGCGCCACTTCGTTCTTAAATCGGTTGCGACAGATACTTTCAGCACGAAGCCAGAGCGCCCTGAAAGCACATTTTCGGGCTGGAAGCAAAACAAGGAGGGTTTCGGCTCACAGCAAGTGGTCTCTGCAAGCTTGGGAGTGCAACTAAGAGACTTCAGGCTTGGTTTAAATACAAAAACCGTCCACCGATCGCTATCTCCACGTGATCTGCTCTGCGCGCTTTGGTTACACAACAGGTTGCTGGGCCAGAGATTTTTAAGCTTTCCAGATTTACCCATTTTCTTGGCATTGTCCCCCAAAGACATGACTCTTAAGGAAATAAGGAGCACGTGAGTTTAAATCCAGGAGCGTGGCTTACAGGGGTGTTTGAGCTCTTGCTCTCAGGCAGGTTACGCTCGCCCTCTGCTCATCCCACGTGTCCATTCTCAACCTTATCTGGGTTTAAATACAACGCTGAAGCAGACCAGAATTAAGCTCCAATTCAACTATTTTTACCTAAAAGGACAATTCTCCACCCAATTTCTCCCACCAAACACCCACTGGCACGTCAAGGCAACTGGAGATGGGCACAGCAAGGAGCAGAAGATGTTCCCAGCCCTGGGCCAACATCACATGCTGAAAAAAACTTGAGTGACATCGCCTGAACCAATAAGCAAGATCATATTTCAAGACATACCCCCTTTTTTTTTTTCCCCCTAAAACTTCACATTGGGGACATTCGATATTAGATCTGCCACGTTAAGAACTGCGTTAACCTCTTCTCTGATGAGGGGTTGTTACCCAAGGGTAACCGAGATACTTTCCACCCTTTGCAACTACAAAATACCCAAGCCCTAGTTTTTAGAACAGTGGTGCTATCTAGAACGGCTTGTGCTCGTGAATTTTGGGCGCCGAGAGACATAAAAATTGCCGAGCAATATAGTCACAGTCAGCAGGAGCATCCAGCCCCTGGCAGCAGAAACCCAGCTGAGCCCTCCAAAACGCCTCTTGTTGGCATCAGCCACCACCCCAGGCTGGCAGCTATTCATCATCCAAGGTTTGCCATGCCAAGAAAGAAGAGTTTGGGTTTGTTGTATTTTAATTTGCTTTCGTTACGCTCAAGACTCATTCCAAAGAGCAGCCAGGCATGCGGAGCAGCCTGGAGAGCCGGGATTACAGGCTCTTCGATATTTCAATTAAAGACAGATAGCTTCTCGCTGCCGGGGTGTATCTAACATAGGCTTAGGCCGAGCAGAACCTAAGGAGAAGCTCCTTCAAGGACTTCAAGACGCTGCCGGAAGCACCACGTGTCAGTAAGTGATTGTTTTTCCTAATGCACGAGCAAGTTTTTAGGCTTTGGAAGGAGAGTATGCTGCAAAGTGTTTTGGTGCAAACTCAGTTTTTTGGAGGCTTGCAGAGGAAACCTGGAAGCTGTTGGGGATGGGCTCTGCTCTGGAACCGATGATCCCATGTGAATAATTTGGAGCTCCACTGATGGAGAGGGACCAGCTCGGACCCAATTCCGTTTGGGAAGGACCCTTTACACTCCTCCCACAGTAACATGGCACCTAGGGAAAATAAGCAGCCGAGGGGTGAACGCAGACCCCCAGACCAGAGGTCGCATCCTGCCTTCTGCGTGGCCGAGCACGGCCAGGCTGGACCGGTGCCAGCGACCACCCTCTCCTCCCTCCCTCCAGCCACGCTCTGTCCCGTGATTTGTGAAGCTTTAGGGGTTTCCCCAGTGGAAACCTTCTTCCTAAACGTGACGCTTTTCAAACGACAAAGCCCAAACATGCAAAGCACAGCTCCCCCGTGGGAAGCGACCCCTCCATCCACCCCTCAAGAGACCGCACTGCCCAGCTCTTTCATCGGCCGCGTATCCATCAGCTTGCCCTAAACCAGCATCAGATTTCACAGGACACAGTGTCAACAAGGGAGACGGATAAATCAACACCATGTTACGCCGATTAAACCCTTCCCTGTAAACACCCGCCCTCCAGCAAGGCTCCGTTCAGCAGGGCGCGATGGTTTGGGGCTATCAAAAGGGTTTCTGGCTTGCATAGGATGTTTGGGGACACTTACCGTCTCTGTAGGGCTCGTCTCCCCAGGACGGGGGGAATGGGGACAGAGGAGACCGTGGAATGCTGCACTCGGACATGGGGGTCATGCTCTTGCGAGGCACGAAGCCGTGAGCTTCCCTCTCTCGGCTCGGGGACGAGGGCTCTGCTCCCATCGCCGCTTGCAGCATCGGATGCTCTGATGAGTTGGCCAACAGCTCCTTGAGGATGTTAATGGGCGAGATGGTGAGTTCCCAGTTGGTAATACCAAAGTCTCTCAGGTGGGCTCTGGCGTGGCTGGAGAGACCCGCACGCGTGTCAAAACCGGCCCCGCAGAATTCGCATCGCATCAGGCTGAAAGTACTCGGGTCGAAGTTTGCAACTGCGGAAAGAAGGACAGACAGTCAGCGCCGCCGCTAAAAACCCTGGATCAGGCCTCCGGGTGTGGGGGTTTATTGCACCCGAGACAACCGCGTGCCACCGGCTGTGCGGTGGCCGCCACGGTTCAGGTTGACCACAGTACCATACGTACCCAGTTCTCGGTGGGAGGAGAAAACCCCACCGATTAAAACAAAAAAATAGAAAGCACAGTGAATTGAATACATACTACCTTTTTTCTTCTTCTTTTGGAAGGAAAATTTTTGCTCAATAGCTTTCACTTCTTCCGCTGAGATGAAATGACGGACGTTGTAGCTCACCCCCACCCTGTTGAGGTGGCCCCTCACATGGTTTGCCAGCCCGATCCCGTTGTGAAACCTGTCTGGGCAGTAGGGACATTTCCTCTCCTCGTTCTTCAGCATGGGCGAGTCGGAGTCCAAGAGGTCATCGAGCTCCAGAGGACCCTCCAGAGGAGAATCCAGTAGGAGCATATCCAAGGGAAGGGGCTCTTCCGTCATGAACTCCCGGGAAGGGAGAGTTGTTTTCTTCTTGAACGGCTTCCCCCGGGGCCGCTTCGTCGCCTTGGGGTGCGGGTTCACTTCCTCCAGGAGGACGATGGGGACCATCTTCCGCAACTGCTGCTGCTGCTCCTCCGAAGCTATCGAAGAGTCCGTGGCTTTCAAGGTGTCTCTGAATGTCCTCTTGAGGTCCAAGGCAGCTTGAGGGATGGTGACGGGTTTGATGCCTCTGTTCTCGCTCAAATCTGTTTCTGTGCTTACGGAGATCTCCTCTTCCATGCTCCCAGCATCACTGGCCAACATCCACTTATGCCTAAGCTCTTCCAGCCCCACCGGGTGGCTCCTGAGACCGTCACCTTCTCCTTCAAGGTGCTGAGCTGCTGCTTTTTTTTTCAGCTGCTGCAAAGCAAACTGGGAATAAGCTTTAGCGGAGGGAAAACCAGAGAGCGCCAGGTTTTTATGTGGGGCAGCATACGGAGCTGCTTTCCTGGCATGAAACCCTGATGTCTGGTAGTCCTTTTTACTAGCCCCATTGCTTTTATCGAGTCTTGGGTGAGTTAGGGCAAAACCGTGAACTGCTTCGTAATGCGATGTGCTTTCTCGGTGAGGTGGAGGGAAAAGCCGGTCCGCTTTGCCAAAATAATCTGTCTCTGCAAACCGGCCCTGCCTGGCCGGGCTGTAGGCATCTCTGCTAGTTCCCGGTTGATTGGGATCATCCTCATACACCTCCGTGTCCCAGGAGAGGTGGGAATGGGCGTATTTCATGTGCTCCTTGAGGATGTTCTCGTTGGGGGCCGGGAAGCTGCAGAGCATGCAGGTGCTGAGCCCTTTGCCGCTGCCGTGAGGTGGTACCTGCATCTGCAGGGATGTGTGTTCATTTGGTTTGAATTGTTTGTAGATGCCGTGCACGGGGCTATCCCGTATTTCTGCACTGCCCGTGCTTCCAAAGAGATTCATGTTCTTTGCCCCTTGGTCCTTCCTCTCCTTGACGTGCATCTTGGCGTGCTGGACAAAGATCTTGGAGGAATTTGTGCCAAAGACGCACTTGGGGCACTGCAGCCGGGCTTCCCGACCTTCGTCTGGAAACTCATTCAACTTCTGGATCTCCTCGATAATTTTTTCCCTAGACTCTTGGTGAAGCCGTTTGTGCTGCTCCAAAGACGTGGGGTCTCCAAAGGCCCATCCGCACTCGTTGCAGCAGAACTGACACTGCCCTCCCAAAGCATCTCTGTCTTGGTCCCTCCCTGGTCCACGATTATGCTGAAGCATGTGATCCATCAAATGTTCCTTCTTCTTGAAGTAAATGCTGCACTCGATGCAGGTGTATACCGTAGGGTCCTCCTCCGGACCCAGCTCCTCTTTCCCCTGCTCCTCCAACAAGACGCTGCACACATAGGGCCTCATCTCGATATCGTAGGAGCTGCAAGGAGCAGGCTCCAGAGACATCAACGGGATCCGCTCCACTGAGTCTTCGGCATTTACTGTCCAGGACTGTTTGCCGACAGCAAGGTCCGCACTGAGCTGAAGACCCGGCTTCTGTATCGTCCACTTGGCCGTGTTGAGTGGGTTGATCTCGCCCAAGTCTGAGTCGACCACCAGCCCCTTCCTGTGGGATGAGGAGCTCTCCAGGGACTTGGACTTGCCGAGGACAGGGTTTAGCGTTTTTCTGAACACCGTCGGAGTCAGCGGAGGAGGCACTTCACGCACGGCCTGTCCCCGAAAGGGCAAGTTGGTTGCTACATCTGTCGGCTTGCTTATGTCTTTGTAGTGAGGACTTGGGCTTTTGTTGGGTCTAGAAATCCAGTCAACCCTTTGGATTCCCCTCTTGCTTTTATCTAAGTGCTCTTTGCTGAGGCCTTCAAGTTGCTTTGGTTCATTTTTGAGATATTTCTCTTCCCCGCCACTAACCAACGCCCCAGCACAAGGGCTGGGCATCTCTGCCGCCGCCTTGCCACCATCCAGGTCCTCGGAGTCGCTCTCCAGTTGCTCAGGATCCACCTGCACAGTATTTACAACCTGGGGCTCCACGGCGAACGCCGACTCCTTTACGCACCGCACGTCCTTAGAGTCCTTCAAGCCAGAGAGTCTCTCTAAAGTGCTTGCTTCTCTCCCATCACCCGCTCTCGTCTCCAGGACGGAGGCGTCCCAGGTCACGCTGCCGGACACGGTCATGTTTCGCAGGTCTAGGGAGCTCCTGGCATCCGTTCTGTGCAAAGCCTTCTTGAACTCCAAATGCTCTTCATTCGCGGAGCTGCAAATAAGTTTTGAGAGTTAAACCGGTTAACGGGATATACAAACGTTTCCATTTACAAAAGTGTTGTCCTGGAGCCAGAACGAGCCTGCGTGGTGTCACGGCAATGACGCAGCCTGGGGATTTCATGGTGACTCCCATATCGTCCCAAATGTTAAAGACTTGGGACAAAACCAAGCTCGTCCCTTCCCACCCTCCCTTGGCCATGTGTAGCTAGAGTAACTTCTGCATCTTCTTCTGCGCTCGCTCCAAGCTCGTTTCAGCGATGGCTGCATCTGCTCCCTATGGTGGCTCTGCCACGTTCACGCCAGGTACAGCAGGAGCGTTGGGTTCCCACCACTGATTCTTGCCTTGGGCCAGAAGTCATCCTCCCCTTGCTCCACCCCACTCTCTGCTTGTCCTTCCCTTTCCCCTCCAAACTTCTCCAGATGCTTGGACACCTTACGGCCTCCTTTTTACCCAGCTCAATAGGGATATTTGCTCTTAGTGATGACACTTATCGCTATCAGGCCAAAGAACAGGCCAATGAGCTCTTCAAAGTTGCATAAAAATAGATTTAAGTGTCAACATGGACCATACCAAAGGTCTCTAGGACCAAAGGATGGTTTGTCTCCATGATTAAATGGAAGCCCCTGGGTGATCCCTCTCCACAGCAGGAGTGGGAAGTCCTTCTTCCCTGTGCAGAGACCCCAAGCCACAGTGGATCAAGGTGGTTCCTCCTCATCCTCTTCCAAACCCTCAGCAAGGAATGCAAAGCTGGTAAGAGCCCATCAAGCAGCTGGAGAACATAAGCCACCATGGAGTGAGCTCTACAGTGTGACAGAGTGGCCCCAGACCATCCAGATGGGTGCTGTGGGTACCACCACGGGACTGAAGATGTGTTGGGTGTTAGAGAAGGGCTGAGCACACCCATGGGCAGTCCCGGGCGGGTGGTTTTGAAAGTCCTCCCCTGGGCTTGGAGGCTTTTTCAGGGAAGAAGGGACAGGGCGAGGGCCATGAGGGTGCAGCAGAGGCACTTGACGTTCTCCAAGATGCCTCGAACATGGGACCAACAGTTATGAGACAGGATCTAGAAGAGCCTCAAGCCCTTCTGCTGGGACGGCGGGAGGCTCAGTGGGGAAGTGTATGGCCTCAGACAGCACTAGATCCCCACGTTTAGGCTTCTGAACTGAGGCCCAGGAGCCCCAGGAGCCCCAATGTCCCTAGTACCAGATTCACGGGGGTTTGGCAGATGCCAGCTCTGCGGCAAGGCAGAATTGGAGCATCTATCGAGCTGCAGAGCAAGACAAGACTCCTCCGTATCCCCATCCCTGCCCTAAGGATGCGACCCAGCTTCTGTCCTCCACAGCCAGCTTCTTGCCCGGCTTCTCCCTGTACGCAGCACCCGTGGCACGGATGCACGGCCAAGAGCCGCATGCAAAGCCACCACATCCCAGCTCCCGCTCCCTGCTAAACCATCCCCAGGGAAGAAATCTGCCGGACCGCAGAGCCCGACACCCGGAGAAGCCCAGTGACTTGAGAACTCGTGCAAGGAGCTGCTCCAAGGCCAGCAAAACACTATCTCACGGGTCAAGTTGTGTTGCCGGGAGAACAAAGCGCCTTTGTTGGAGACAGCGGGGCTGCCAGTTCCACACGGTTCTCGCGCTGCCTCCCTCTCTCCTTTTTAAACCTATTTATTTCCAGCTTGTTCCTGGAAAAAGCCAAGTTTAGGGGCGAACCGACCCTCCCACCCCACCACACCCTCCCAGCTCCAAAACCTTCCCTATTTTTACTTGAGAGAAATTACTGTGGACTAGAGGACGGGCTCGCCATTGTCTGTGGCTTGATATCAGGGAAATGTGATTCCCATATGCACCGTAAACCCTGCAAACGTTATTAAAAATAACTCGCTAAGGAAACCGCTGGCCCAGGAAGGATCAGTCAACAGCAGATACTAAAATAAGCCCATTAAAACGTGCTGGGCATTGGTTGCATTGCTAAACAAGCTAAGACGGAGAGTGATTCCGAGCCAGGCGCAGGTCCCCGGTGCCATGAGGAGGGACACTGACCATTGCTCTGCATGACTCTTGGGCTGGCACCCCCAATTCTGCCTTTTTCAGGGTGCTCAGAGCTGTTCGGGACACCCCTCAGCAGCTTTGGAACACCCAACGCAACCAACTCAAGCATTCGTCTCCCAACATCTCTCTCTGCCTTGCACCAGGGACAGACCCAGCAGTGCCACGGGGAACCGGGACACCCCGAGGGGTGATTTAGGGCTGGCAGAAGCCGGGTGGTTTGTTGGGAAGCAAGATAAACAAGATGAATTAGAGCAGCCAACTCTGCTCTGCAGCGAGGGGACTGCGCTGGCTGGCTCCGGAGGGACCTGCTGACGTGCTCAGTGGTGGGAGAACCCTCCTCAGGGACAGCCAGAGAGATATTTTGGGGCTTTGTGTAACTGGAGCACAGTTAGCAAGGGGAGACAGGCTCCTGGGCGCTCCCCGCTCTGCGACATCCCTTGGGAACTTACCCGAGTTCGGTCCTGTGAGCTGTGGCTGGGACAGCACCGGAGAGGGCAGGATCAGGCTCATCTGCAACAGAGAGGAAAGCTCCAAGGTCAGTGCCCAAGTGAGGCTTCTTCAATGCAATTTGCAATAAAGTGATTTTTTTTTTCTTTTTTTTTTTTTGTGTGTTAAAATAAGCTTTCCCAGCAGATAAACCCCCTCTGCTCCTGCTGCCCGTCCTTCCCTCCTACAGCCGGGTCCGGATTACGGGAGGATTTCCGAGCCACACTTAAGAGGGTTTAATCCCGCGTGCAACTATTTGATGTATAATCGTTCCTGCAGCTAAGCAGTTTAACGGGAAGATGCACACGCCGCTGGCCACGCTCCCGCCACCCCTACTTGCCAGGGAAGTATCTGGCATGGAGCCACAGCCAAGCGGCTGGAAGAGGGTTGTCTTGGGCCACTCCAAGAAGAAAACTGCTTCCCCTGGCTCTACGGATGTGGCACACGAGCCTCCCCGGCACCAGCACACTTCCCTGCCCTTGGACCAGCATGCAGGACTTCTCCAGATGCCCAAGCATCATCTGGGGCTTGGAGGAGCTTTGCTTCGCTCTGGTGTTGGCCAAACCCCCAGGACAGCTCCTGGGCTAAGTGACCTCCAAGCCTGCTCGCGAGAAGATGTGAGGCAGGACTTCAGGCAGTGACCACAGGCAGGCAAGTGCCTGCTGAAGATCTCCAGGGTCTGCTGAGCTGTTTCAGACCCAGATACATCCTCCCTCAGGAGGAGGAAAGCCGTCGGCTGTGGCTGATAAGGACTTCTGGATCAAACCTACCTGGCCCAGAGGCTACATCAGCCAGGGCTGAGCTCAGGGCAGGACATGGGGGTCTCACTCCTCGTGCTGGATCCCCCCCGTCCTGGTCTGGCCATGCGTTGCCTGTCCCAGCGTATGGAAAGCAGGGACTCACTTGTTATTACAGACAAGGCTGGGAGCTTGGGGAAGCCGAGGCGTAGCTGGGTGAATCCACGTTGTTTCCTGCAGCAAACCAGCCCCAGGCAAGCAAGCTTGCTGCTAGGACAAGGAACTGTCGCACGTCCCTGTTCCCATCATCATCATCATCTTGGGTCATGGGATACCCAACAGCCTGGCCCTGGGCAAGCAAGCTTGCTGCTAGGACAAGGAATTGTCCCGTATCTCTGCTCCTACCATCATCATCTTGGGTCCTGGGATGCTCAGCAGCCCAACAGTTGCACTGGGCTCACCAGTGTGGTGGAAATAACCAGGAGGCCATGGGAAGGATGTGTCCACAGCTTGGAGGACAGCAAGACCCAGCACCAACCATGCGTGGGGCTTATGGAGAAAAGGGACATGCAAGGAGCAGCTAAACCTCCACCACGCACCGACCAACAACCCAGGGAGCCTTTAATGTTGAACACAAAGATGAGCAAGAACAGGACCAAGCTGCATGTCCTGGGAAGGGAATGGGGAGTGCTTTGGAAGCACACGGCCAAGGAGATGGATTTTGCTGCAATGGTCTGCAGGCTCCGCTTGTGAGAGCCTCCACAGCCCAAATTGACCTCCATCCCCTCCCAGATGGATGTGGCTCCTCATAGTTTGCATTTATTCTATGGATTACTGGTTACGTGCCATAAAACCAGGAGGAATGTGGTATTCAGGCCACCACGCTGGTTATGGAGATGGGGAAGGCAGGGCAGGACCTGCCCTGAAAGCAGAGGAGGGGCATGAAAAGCCAGGGTTGGCTTCCCAGCCTTCTAACGTCTTAGGTGAGATGCTTTAGGGCAAGATCTTTAAGGCTGAGCATCTCCAACATGTAGGTCTCATCCAGAGATGATGGGGTTGGAGCTCTTTCATCTAGATGCAGAGCTGGGACCACGCACGTCGCTGCGCTTTATCTGGCATCGGCGGCGTCAGAGCCTGCCCTGGAGAGGTGGCAGCAGCCCCGGCTCCCAAATCGGGTCCTTTTGGCTTTGGTTTTGGAAAAGGCCGGCGGGATCCGGGGCCAAGCTGCCGAGGTCACGGGAGACTGGCATCAGGAAAGCCTGAGTCGCCAACCGGCCAGGGCAGGAAAGCCAGG